GATGTCTTTAAGCTTTTGATTTTGACATTTGATCAGGGACTTTCCGTTTTAAATTTTCCTTGGAGTTCGGTTTTTTTGTTATTTGACTTTTACATGAGCAACACTACTGATGCCACTAGTGTAGCAGGATATACTTACCCTTCCGGATCATCCCCAGTTTTCGGTGTGGTTCGTGTTGCTCATTTAATAGTTTTCTATGTTGTGTTTTGTATACTGTTGTTTGTCTTGTCATCGTTTTTCGTTCCTTTCAATGGCGTTGTCAGTTTGTTTTTTATTTATGAGTTTGAATATCCTTTAGTCATCTTTCGTTTCTCTTTTTAAACTGTACATCAGGATGTTTGGATTCTTATCATTCAGGATGTTTGGACTCTTATCATTTGCAAAACAAATATTCAATATTAATGAAAATGTCTTTTTCCAGTTGTCTTTATTTGACAACGAGATTTGAGGCCTATATATTTTATGTTGTTTCCCGCAGAAACAAAAAAAAACAAGTATGATATCATATATATAGTGATGGAATTCTCTCAATTAGATTATTCTGTTGAACGTGTTCTAACTACATTAACATCCTCTTCTGCAACAGGAAGTCAAATAAATAACTTCATATTCTGATAACAGCAAACTAAACAGGATGTATATTTATATCCTGTCGTATATTTTGTTAAGTTGTTTCGAATTCATTAAAGATATGCATTATATGGCTTCAAGCTAGAATGTTATTGTTACTGGAACAACTCAAAGGCCAATACTTCATATGTTTTCCCTTGTGTGTTTGTATACTGTTTTTTTTTCTTATTTGTTTTTGGTTTGAGTTTTTTATCGCTTATCCGTATTTCCTCTTAATACATATTCACAATAACAACTTGCCATTTTTACATTATTTGCTTTGCCAGTTAACATTACAAAATGTTGAAGCTTATCAGATTTATACTTAGGTGAAGAAACTGTCATGTATATTTCTTTAAACACAAAACATTAATATCGGTTTACAATGTAGTACTTAAATTTGTACTTAGCAGCTGAACAGATTCAATCAATCACGCATTCCAGTTGGTAGAATGAAAATGTATACAACATGTTAAAACCATTCTGTATTTGTTTGCTTGTTCCAAGCCTAGAACCTTTAGTACAATGAAAGTTTTTGGTTGTTGACTGCCATTTTAATCATTTTTCGGTTATTATTCATTTGATAAATCAAGCCATTGATTTTTTACTTTTGAATTGTTTCACATTTTGTTTTCTAACGACCATATATAGCTTACTATCCGGAATTGATGTTTATCAATGTAGAATGTTGCCACGTGACTTGTTGTTATTCCTGGTGTTTTTGGCAGATAGGTGTCCCATTGGCAATCCTACAACAACTTCTTTTTTTCATATTATTAGCAAACTATTCTTAAAATAATTCTTTGTAACGTTTGAAATGGAAACAAAGTAACTATTGTCTAACTCTGGAATCAGAACTAGTTCAATATTTTGATGGTTTTTGAATTTATTTTGAACTTCTTATGATTTGGAAAATACTGGTCGTGGCAGGTGCGCTCGACTAAAATCTTAATTGACTAGGATTATAAGTTTTCCTACTGAAGGTCGGTGTTTCTCACCGGGTACCCCAGCTTCCTCCAACAATAAAACCTGACCGCTACGGAATGGCACAATAGTGTTGAAAGTTGCGTTAATCAATCAATCATGTTATATTATTCCAAACATATATATGTGTGATATATTCCTATCTTTTGTTAGAGTTTGTTTTAAGAGAAAAGAATCACAATGTGCTACAGCCTATTTACCAAATTCCTGTTGAAGCTAAAACTAACTAGATAGAAACTCGAAGAAATTAATTATATGACAATCCTATAATAATTCATTCATCATACGAATAGTTTGATTGGAAATCAGATCGTATATTGAAATTAAAAGAAGGCGAATTAAAGGAAACATCTTTTTCCTAAATTTGAATAAAATAATTTGTGGATTCTAAGTCAATGAGACACCAACACAACGACACCAATAACAAAAAGATATTAAGAGATGAGCAGGTGTCTGTACAATATGTCAAGCTTTTAATGGTCCAGAACATCGAATGTGAATGAATTAAACGAAACTATAAATCAACGATTTTTAAGTAGTGTTCATTCTATTTTTCTATACTTCAAAAAATGTATATAAAGGCAACAGTAGTATACTGCTGTTCAATAGTTATAATTTGATTAAGCAAAAACAAATCCGGGTAACAAATATATGTCATAGCACAAATTTCAATCAAGTATGATTGTGAATACCACATTTTTTACAAATCAGATTTTTTATATCTACTACCTAGTTCAAATTTTACAAGTCAAAAGCATTAGGAAATTAGCTTTAGTACAAATTCGGTGGTTCATATCTGGTATGCTGTACTAGGACACAATACATAATACAAAAAATAATTTTGAATTACTTCATAATGAAATAAAATTATAACCTAAGCTTGTCTGAAATCCAATTTTGTTTTATTTTAATTTATCACTTAGGCAGCCTTCAAGCCCCCGACGTTATAGTCATATAAGTTCTCGTTTGTTATCAGAAAGATATCATTCCGTTGATGAATAGCGTTTAAGTTTTCTTAGTTTTGTTGGAATTCCTTTTTTTTTTTAATTAGCCTTGAAGTTTGAAAATTTCTGTTATACTATTATACCAAGAGAATATTCAAATTCATCAATTGAAAACGAACTGACAATGTCGTGGCAAGAAAAGAAAAATCAACACACAAGTACCAGTATACAAAACACAACACAGAAAAGGAAGTCCAAGCAACACGAACCCCACCAAAAACAAGGGGTGATCTCCGGTTTTATCAAAATAACGAACAAAAGCAGCAGAAACAGTTTGACAAAGGTAAATGGTGTTATCCGTTTTGGCGCTCAAAAGTATATTATATATAGGTGTTAAAATATAAGATGGAGCTAAATGCAAATACTGTGCCAACAAATACTTTATGAAAACAACACTTAATGACAATGATAGGTTAGTTTGCTAAGACATCCATTGCTAAATCAACTCCTAGTGAAAAGGACATATACGTTTGCTAGAGACAAGATGATCTCTTGTAAAAACATAAGTAAAAGGACATTGGAGTTTGCTTAAAGACCTCTCTTGCAAAAAATCTGAAACTTACGGTGATAATTGTAAGTTGCAACTGTGCAGATAAAGCTGCACCATTTGTTAATTAAGATATAAAGCCACAATTATTTGCCTTACAAAATGCAAGTAAATATTGCAATAGATAAGATAATACCCATCCGGGACATTCCGTAGTAAGATGATTAAACATTATTCAAGTGCAATCCAAAATCACACAAGTAATAATAACTATTTTAGTTATTGTTGCTTGTATGATCCTTGATTTTACTTGGATAATGTTTTATAATGGTAGATAGTATAATCTTGGATCCCTACTGGTGGCACTTTCATCTAAAGCGCCAAGTAACCCAAAAGATGATGACAGCCACAATATCCCAATTTAAGCTATTAGAGTTCTGATTGGTTTTTTGATTTTAAAGGAATTCCAATTTGTACTGAGAAGGATCTAGATCCTACTGAATTATTAAAAATGTATGGAATAATGGACCATCGTGCGATAACACAAACAAATGTTAGTAGATCTTTCGAACGCAAATGACATGGCAACCAAAGAAATTGAGGGTTAGAAAATATATTGTGAAGAAATAATAACTGTTTATCATTTAACATATCATTTTAAAAGACCGTGTGGGAGATTTATACCGGTTTAACAATAATGCATTTGAGTAAGCATTGTACCACTACAGTTTTATTTTTCCTCATTACATTTGTCCTGAATTTCGAACATAGCAACATAGTTTATTTCCGTTATATGATTAAACAAAATGCAGTTCCGCATATTTGCCTGTTAAATTATTCGCGTTTAGCGGGGAAATGCCATACCTTTGAGCGAAAAACAAATTGTACTTTAAAGTTTAGATAAATAAAGGCAGTAGTTAGCCGCTGTTCAATAGTCATACATCGATTTAACTGAAACAAATCCGGATCACAAACCAAAACCGAGGGAAATACATCAACTAAAAGAGGAAAACAACCGAACAACATAAACATTGAACTGCTACAAAAACAAATGCCAACATTCATAGAAACAGACTATTTGATAATTGAATTTATTTTAACTGATTGAATGGTTTATTTTCTACGGATTTAAATTTATGTAACAAAAGGGAAATCAAGTAACTTTAAATCATTACGTCCCTTTAAATATGAGACATCTATCTAAATAGAACATGAAATGAATTTTATTTTCATGGAAACATGGGTACGAGTATTTTCTAAATACTCAAAAACTGACATTATTGACGTACGAGAGAATAAGAATTACAGCACAACTTGGTAAATTGGTAATACTGTATGTTCTGCAGTATAATAAGGAAATGTACATGACAAATATTGGATTAGTGAAAGTGAAGTTTGTCAACGTTTGGATTCCAAATTATAATCTGAACTTAATAGTGTTTGTTTGAATCGAGTTTTAAAAGCATTTCTTTTATAATATGTACATTGTGTAATATCATGACATTTGCCATATTTGTTTGTTTTTACAATGTACTAGTATTTTGTTTTATGTTTCTCGTTTGTAGAAAACCGTCGGTAAGTAACTAGCATAATATATCAAAGTTCACATTCTTGTTTAAAAGAAATAGCAAAAGTAAGTCTCAAACCAAACCTTTTGCAAGAATTCTCAATACAGTTACATGAAAACCAACTAATAACAAATAGATACTTACTGATAATATGCATTTTTAAACGCCACAGATTTCTGATACATACCTAGCAATGTCATTATTGTTTAACATTTGCAGAAATGTATAAACATGCATAAAATGTTGTATAAAAAAATGATTTAAACGTATCGAAGCATTTCTTTCTTTGCATACATGTACAGTATTATAACAATTTTTATTTATAAAATGAATACGCTTAATGTTTACCTGCAATAGTGGATATAAGAAATCCTGTTAGATTCCAAAGACTGCAAATCAACTGAGAGACCAGGAACATTTTTATCATCGTTTTCAGAATAATATCATTGTAGATAGTAAAGTTTTTGAAGACACATATAAAATGTCCGGCAATGACAAAAATCCACAATATAAACACACTGACAATTTTTAGAATATCTTCTGCCATTTCGTCTTTCAAATTGTTTCAGTATTTTGTTTTTCTTTTAATAGTTTCCTGTCACAAAATGTTGTCAATTTTTTACAAAATATATCACTGTAATAATCAGTAACGCTGTTGCAGTTTGTCCTATTTACACAATTGATATATTATGATGCTAATATATCCTTTGGTATTAACATTCTTTTGTACATTTACATCTGATGTTTTAACACGTGAAGCTAGATTATCAATGGATCAATTATTAATAACATGTAAAACAGAATTATTTTTTTCTACATTTTAAAACACGCTCAAGCATATGTCCAAATCTGTTTCATTTACAAATCATCAGGGAACCAACTAATGCTGCTTCTGTGAAAACAAGGCCACAAATAACTGTCATTTAAAGGTTACCTAGACGTAGCTCGTGCCATTGATTTTACAACTAATGAACGACTTCGGTAGTTATATAACGTATACTGTATTGTAACGTATTAACGGGAATTAATTAGGCGCACATATAATCTATAATCCAAGACTAGGTTTTGCTGATGTGTGGGTAATAAGATATTTTCATTACATTAAACGTCTATCTTGATTTTGTATATGCAAATGAATGTAAAATCAAGTTTTAAATGAAATTTAATTAACAAGCTTATAGTATATAACCATTCACAGTGCAAAACGATCTTTATGACAGAGATCATACAAAACAATTTGTTTAAAAATTTGAGTTAATGCAAATAAATTTCATAAAAAAGAAACAGCTTAGCGGCCCAGTGGACCCTACAGAGCTCTTACGATATTTAGATTTCTGAATTATTGGTAACGATAATTTTTCAACTTATTGACAGAATAGTGCCTAAAACTATTAGTAACCATTATATGACACAACCACTTTGGTTTTTTTTTTAGTTTGGAATGACAAAATCATCGTTTTTTTAACTCAACTGTAAACAAAGGAAATATGGCGGAAACATTTTCGAAGGTAGTCTGAAATGGGAAAATAACGACATGAGTGTAAAACCAATTTTCTTATTGCAATCAAACATATTTGGTCCCAAGCCTTCTGACAAAGAAATCCTTTTACACAACGAATTTTACAAAATGATTAATCAACTCATACCCGATTCCTATCTGAGAGGACTCCAAAGAGTTCGGGGTATGTGGCGGATCTACACAGAGAGTGAAAACGATCGCAGCAAGCTTCCTATATCAGGCATTGTCATAAGAGAACGTGTGGTGAATTTTTATTCACAAAACCCTAGATTCAAAGTGTATAAAAACTCAGATCACGTTACAATTCGGGTAAAAGACATCCCATACTCGGCCAATGATGGTCAGATAAACTATTTTATAGAGAATTCAGGGTGTAAAATACACAGATTCTTTAGAGAGCGCATACGAGTTGATAGCTTTTTAACAAAATGCCAATCAGGAGACCGAATCTTCTATTGCGATCCTGTGGAACAACCTTTCCCTCGACATGTAACAAAAGGAGGATATAGGGCTACAATCTTTCATAAAGGTCAGATCACTAAAAACAGAGACAATATAGTTTGTAAAAAATGCTTCGAAATAAGCCACTTCATCAGCAATTGTCCAAATGACTGGAAATGTAACACCTGAAAAACATTTGGACACAAACAATTAGAATGTAAAGAGCCCTTTTCAGACAATAAGAATGAAAATGAATCAATAAACACAGATGATGACAATACAGACTCAGAAACTGATTACAATTATGATGATATTGAGCATATTCAACAACATGAAACTGAACAAATGCAAGAAATGCCTAACCAGCAAATGTAGCAAATGACTAACCAGCAGTTGCAGGAAGTGCTCACTCGTGATCCGAAGGACGTTTTTACTAAACAATCACAAGATGTGCCTACTCAACAATCTCAATCTCTACTTCAATCAATTACCAATGCTAAAAAAGATGAAAATACAGGACAAGCTGCAACATCAAGTCTTAAAAAAGCTAAAAACAATTCCAGTAAAAAGAAAAAACAAACAGGTCAAAATGATTCAAAAGATGGAAAACAAAGTTCAATGCAACACTTCCTATTTGAGAAACAAGCTAGTGTAACCACCCCAGGAAATAAAGCTTCAAAAAGGTCAGCAACAACACCAACAACTGACCTAATCGATAGAGAAAATCAAACAGGCAAACCAAAAAAAAAACTAAAAGTTAAAAAGGAGAAATAAACATGTATAAACGATCACGTAGCTGACTTCTTTTTCTTTTCGTTGATCATCTCAATATTTTTACAATAAACTGTTTGCATGGTTTCCACTGACGGTGGCCATTTTTTGCATTTTGCGAAAAAAATAAAAATTCTGACGATTAAAATTCATTGTTGGCGAAAGAAATATAACGGTTTTGACTTCGTCCATCTTGTTTATTTTTGGGGGGTTTCTCGAACTTTTTCCCTGATCAGACAATACTGTGATTTTACCTTGAACTCGTCACACGGTTCGATTTTGATAGAAAATGAATAATCAGCTGATTGCATTGTATAACTGTCGGCAACAATGAACAAATTATTAAAGGTGTTGATTCTATTGTTTAATGAAATTGTGTGTTAAAAGGCGTCTCAAGACGTGAGTAGTTCACACTCGTTTTAGCGATCTTTTCTTTAACCGATGGTCCAGAAAAGATAACTGTTGTAAAGAAAAAAATGTTCAAAAGTAAGTGAATCTCCTAATTAAGTCTTTATTCTTCAACCAGACTGGAAGTTTCCGCTAAATTGATTAAAGATGAATCCTGTGTTCCCAGAAGTCAAATATGATGATTTCATGATTTATACACACTTACAGAGAATTTATTTTGCAATTTTACAGTATCTTTAAAAAAGTAAATGTTTCTAGATATGTAGAATTATAATAGATTAGACAACAATGCCGCAAACTGATTTTCTTTTTATAAAAAAGAAGAAAAATTTTAAGAAAAAAAATACGTTGATGTAAGTTGGCGAAATAAATTGAAAGTGGCGAAAAATATTTTATTTTTGCGAAAGAGGTGGCGAAAAATAAAATTGACCCAGGGGAAACCCTGACTGTTTGTATATAGTTTTACTATTTTTCATACATATGTGTATGCCAAACATATTCCCCAAGGTAGATAATCACCTCAAAGGTGATGCTTTTTATGTAAATTTGAAAAAAAACAGTAATACTAGTAAAACAAATACATGAAGTGATGAATATGATGGAATATTAGATTTCATACTTTCAATGAGTAATAGAAAGGAAAGTTAAACAGAAATGAACCTTAATGTTGTTTTTTATAACATAATGTCAAAGATTAATAAAAAACGAAACATTATTGGTCTTTGAGATCAAACTAAAAAATACATACTTCTCGCTGCATTGAAGACCCATTGGTGGCCTTCGGCTGTTGTCTGCTCTATGGTCGGGTTGTTGTCTCTTTGACACATTCCCCATTTCCATTCTCAATTTTATTTTTTACAGAGTTTGTCTTTAGTGCCGTGTGGAGACAGTAGAGTGCCTCCCCGTGCTTCAGGTTTATGCTCTTATAATATACTAGATTATGGAGTGTGTGTCCGAGCGAGAACTTTCTATGTTCATTACTTTAGGAATATTTATCAAAAAGTAGTATTTCAACATTCAGCCCCATTCTTCTATTTAGTCAGACGTCAGTCGCTACCCTGATATACCCTATCTTTTGTTTTATTTTTCGTGTAATTTATGACGGATAGCGTTTGACGTCTTTAGCCGAACAGTTTTATCATATTCACATAATTCAATTTATTGTGTGCTGGTTCATATTCTGGACGCCAGTCTTTGCTCCTTTCTAATAAAATCAACATAACAAAAAACAAATATGAAGCTTAGAAATGGAAAAATATTAAATACGAAACTCGTTCAAAGGGTATCTACACGTCTCAATCTTCAAAATCGCTTATCTAAAAATACTACCATCGCTAACATTTTTAACAATAAAAATCTTGGTTACCCTTCTATCGATAAGTGTCATGCCAAAAAATGACTTACATGTCCCCGTCTTTCCACAACAATACGGTAAGGTCTACGGTTAATGGTCGCACATTTTCTTTAAATTTTGAAACTGATATAACTTGAAAAACAAACAGTATTATTTATTTACTCACATGAAACAAACCAGGATGCGGTATTCAGTACGTAGGTGAAACTGGACGATATTTATCTAAACGCACGCAAGAACACTTGTATCGTTTTAAAAGACCCAATAAATTCAAAAGTATCATTTATCAACATCTTAAAAAGCACAATCATCCTATTAAATATTTAACAGTTCAACCTTTAGAAGTAGTAAATAAGCAGTCTGGTGAATCTCATTCAAAGTTTGTACGATTACGGAAAATAATTGAATTAAATTGGATTAAAAAATTACAGACAGTCTACCCTCTCGGTCTTAATGATAGTATCATGGGAATTGGTAATATATCAAGAACCGATTCTGTTAACATTTTGGATATAGTTTCTAAAAATGTTTGAAAAAACCGTTCCCATGGACGTAGAAAAATTGAGTTTAGTATGACGTCCATTATCACTGAACAAGTATACATATTTGTTTAGGGGCCAGCTGAAGGACGCCTCCGGGTGCGGGAGTTTCTCGCTGCATTGAAGACCCATTGGTGGCCTTCGGCTGTTGTCTGCTCTATGGTCGGGTTGTTGTCTCTTTGACACATTCCCCATTTCCATTCTCAATTTTATTAAATAAAGAACTTTCTTTAATAGACAAAACATTTATCAATATGTACATACTTCTGTTCTTACCATATCTGATAATATTCGACAAATTTGTAAAAAAAAAATATACATGTATTATCATAGTCTGAGAAACAGTTTGCAGAACGGTTCCTTTTTTCCACAGATTAATTGAACATATAATTCCAAATATCCAATCATATGCAGCGGACGAAAATATATTTTGTATGAGAACTCTATGAATCAAACTGTAATTCATCAACATTTAACTACAGTCAATATTTATAATTGGATAATACAGCACTGTAAAATCTTTCGACTTAGTTTTGGCTTCAATACTTTGCATTAGAATACAAATGGTCACAGATATATATATGTACATGTTTAGATATTGGGAAAGTATTCTTAGTCAAAATCCGGCAATATCAATCCTCTCAAATAACTATATTGTAGTAAAATTCTTCAGTACTGCTAAATCGAAATACTTTAGTCTTCATGTAAAACCAGTAACTTTATCCTATTATGTATTATAGATC